TGAAAAGTCCATTCTAGAGTTTTCTTCTCTTTTTTCTTTCTTCACAGGGATCACAAACAAGGGAGGCATGGGCCTGAGGTGTGGTTGGCGAGGTCCTCGGGACTGAGGAGAAAATTACACAGCTTCACCGGCAATGTTAGTAGACACCTACAGGTGGTCTCTGGCAGCACAAAGGGCTGGGGTAGTTTTTCCTGAGGAGTTGCACGAGGACGCAGTAAATCATAACTTTTTCTCTGCGTGTGGCAGCTGGTAATGAGGCGCTGGGCGGCCAACTGAGGGTGACACTGGTCATGGCCTACTCGCTAATGTGTAACCTCGAGGGTTCAGCTGGGAGCAGGGGAAGGTGCTCTTGAGGGCCCCCAGGCCTTCGTGGGAGGTTTACACCTGTTACTCTGGTGTTCTGCTGTTTGGAGCGCAAGCCTCAGGAATTGTAGATGGAAGCCATGTTGATGGGAGGGACCCCTGTAGGCTGTCTACTACATCGCCGGTGAAGCTTGTGTATTTGCTCCTCAGTCCCAAGGACCTCCACCCACACCTCAGGCATGCTCTTTTTGGTGCTCCTGTGAGAGAAAGGAAAAAAGTAGAAGAAACTCTGGAGAATGGACTCTTCAGTGCAACCTGCAGTTATACTTTTGAAAGACAAAATATTTTGCATCTCTATAGATTCCTGGATTTTTTAAATTAGGAAGAATGATTAGGCCAGATGTGATTTACAATTTTAACAACGTGAAATGAGTTTTGTGGAAACTTCAGACAACCAGAACACAAATCTATCATTAAGAAGCATGAAACTTTCATATGTTATAAAATATGTCTGGGGGGCTCTTTAAATGATATCACCAAAGAATCGAATCATCCTACACCAGTGCTTCTTAATTGCTCATTCTTAAAGGACAGGTATTTTTTTCATTATGGAAAAAAAAAACACATTGAACTGTCTTGCCAAGAATTTAGATGAGAAGATTCAACACCACACTGTAGGGAATTAATTAGATTAGCATAAAAACTTGCTGGATTCTTGTCGTTCACCCATGAGGTTGTCAGACATACCAGTGGACACCAATCCTGTCTCCTTAGAAATTACATTCTATATACAAGTTCACTGGAAAACGAGTTTATTAATTGTAGTGTGGATGTGTGAGATTGTGACACAGTTTCTGTAATGGTAGGGCAGATCCATTAATTGGTGGTAGCAAGTACACAAGGTATTTCATTTCAGATTTTGGGGGTGAAGGGACCACATTGCATAAAGTTACTTAAACAATAAACAAAGCTACCCAGCACACCAAACCTGGCTGTAAAGAAAAAAAATTACTGAGCAGCTAATGATATGAACAGTTAAATAAATAAAATGTCAACGCCACTTCAAAATATGGTTGCCAGTATTTTCCATTCATACCTAAAGTGTTTTCTTCTGAAGTACACAGCTCTTCACTTGTGACGCAACTGGCCAAATAAACACGAAAAAAAACCCGTCACCACTCTCTTCCACTGTTCATCTCTGCTCCACATGAGAAATCGCTCCTTCAAAATGGAGACCAAATGTTACACGAATCAAAGGTGAATAATTCAGGCTGGCAATGGGGGACCCATGAGCTCAGGTCTGAAATAATTCAGTGTCATTTTTATAACTTTTCATAATGTTTTTTACATGGTAGGGGAGCTGTTTAACCTGGAAAAGAGCTCATGAAAAACTCCAAGACGATTCTTGGTATTCCAGAAATCTGCTGGCCTGAAATTTGATCACTTTTGAGCTTTACCTTTACTTGCCCCGACTTTAGTTTGAAACCACTACGTAATTGTTGCTTGCTGTGGTTTCCTCCGAGTTTCATCTATTAGTTTTGGTTGCTTAAGCACCAAAATACTGCAGACTAGAGCGCAGTGGATTTTATTGTTTATCAATGTTTGAGATCAAGAAGATGGCTGGTCATTTTTATCTTTATGTGCTGTGTGTTTTACAGATTTTTTAAAAATCCAAATCCTCATAGAAAATTTATGACAATATGACAGCCAGATATGATAACATTCACTGTCCGTTGTCCCTGTCAGAGATAGTAGGTGATATTTTTAGAAAAAATATTATAGCTTCTTTCCATGCTTTGACTTGCGAGCAATGGAGAGAGCGTGCTGATAAGAAGATGTGGGGTAAAAAAATAATATCTGTCTTAATCTCCTTGAGAATTTGTGATAAAGAAATTTGGTGACCATTAGGTGCTTTTCAAATGCAGGGCCTTCGAGCAGTGGATATTATAGAGTTTAGTTTATTGTTCTATAAATGTGATTAAAATCGGTATGTAGTAAATTAAGCTCATGACCTTCCAGGCTGCAAATATCCAAAGTCAACACAAATAATGCAAAAA